CCACGATTTCCACCCATGCGCCACGCCGCTTCCCGTGCCGCATTCACACCAGCCCAAAGCATGCAGCAGCTGTCACTGATTCCGTGATACGACCGGACGGGAAGGCGGCGTAGACGGACACGACTTTTCGGGCGTCGCTGCCGCTTCAGTGCGGACGCCGCATCCTGAGAAATCCACTCTGTCCGCTGCGGCGCATTGAAGCGGGCTGACTGCCCCTCCGCCTGGCTTGGCTGCGGCTATTTCAGCCGCACTCAGGCACTGTCTAGAACCGCACCATCAGGAGCACCGCACCTTCCTCCTCCCATTCGCCGAGCCCTTTATCCTCTTCAAACCCACTAGTGATCGATGTCGAAGTCTTGGTTGTCCGTGCCGGTAGGCTGCAAGGGTGGAAGTTCCTCGTTAGGCGGATTGTGGCGTCACCGCCCTCGCTCACCTAGACCATTCGCATCCATGGTGGCGGGCACCTCCGACAAGGATGAGATAGTCATCTCCTTCGGCGACGAGGAGGAGCAGCCACAGTAGCGGTCCCATCTCTTCTCAGAGGAGGCTTTGACGGACGAAGAATTTATCCGTCAAATGGAGACCATGGTGGTGCGTTCACTCCATCAGATGGTTCCGCTGCCACCGTCGTTGGTGTGCGTGAAGGAGGAGCCACCATCCCCATCGTGGCTCTGCGTTAGGTGGGAGCCAGCATCCCCATACGGGCAGGTGAATGACGAGCTGGCGTACAATCCGCACAACCATGGCCTCCACAATGGTGGCCACGTGAAGCAGGATCCGGCATCCCCCCAGTGCCTCTGCTGCATGAAGGACGAGCCGGCGCTGCCCCCGTCGCGAAGCCGCTATGCGTGGGTCGACGGGCACTGGTCGCCACCACCGGCAAACGAAGGAGGAGCTGCCGCCTACGATTGCCTAGGGGCGTGGCTGTGTCCTTCACTTCCTCGGAGGCGGTCGTTTCGGCGGTGCCGCCGGCTCTCGGGCCATGGTATCCGAGGCCGAGCGTGAGGCACGGTAGTAGGCGAAAAGGTATGACTGGCGCAATGCTAGTCACCGCTCCGCGTTCGCCAAGACGGACATGGCGCCGGAATGGGTCCGCAACGTCCCGGACCTCAGCGCGGTATTGGTTAATTTTAATTTGTAATGATTGTGATGGTTGTGTTTTTTTCCTATGGCACGTTCCTTTCGTTATGCTCCCCAACGACTCATCACGTCCCCCTTTGCCTTTAAGGTTAGCCGAGGCAGCATAGGGTATGGACCATGGTTGTCCATGCATCCATTGTGTCAACTCCAGTTTCAGATATGCTTATGTCATGCTAATTTGTTTTTGTTATTTAGAGGTTCTAGTCCATGCATTGTCAAGATCGTTGCCGTCCGAGGCAGCCAGTTTAAGTTGTAAGCCTCCGGCCGGGCATAATATCTTTGGAAAAACACAGTCGTTTTTGTTAGGAATTAATTAGTGGATTAATTAGCACATGTCTATTGTTATTTAACACATACTAATTAACAAACCGTTATTAGCAATGGGTGTGTCCAACCCCAAAGAGTCATATCCCTTTTCTCTTTATTGTCAACAGGCCTCCGAACAGGCACCTCTTTTCTCCAAACAGGAATTAATAGAAATCAGGACACACAAAAATCTCGTATTAGACTGCTCACAGTGGAGAGTAACATAGAGTAGTAACTTGCTGATGTTACTACTCTATGTTACTACCTCCATAGTGGGTAGTAACTTATGAGTAGTATCATGAAAGAGTTCATTTATTAGGCTATAGACTCATTATGTCTTGAAATGTGTGATGTTACAGTAACTAGCTAAGTTATCACAAACCTCTCTCTCCTCATTAATTAGCTGTCACAGTCACATAAGCAATTTTGTATTGAAATGTGTGATGTTACTAGTCAAGTTACTTCCATTGTGATTAGTCTTAATCTAATACGTTATTAGCACGCTCTAACCGAGAGCATCCAAGAGCACGAGCAAACAAAAAGAAAAGAAAGACGGGCGGACGACACAATGGTGTGCGGCTGCTAGTACCCACACGGCCAGGCACGGTGCATGGCCCAGGCCGGTGCATCGAGCGATAGCACAACGGAGCGACCAACAATCATGGATGTTAGAAATACGACAGGCAAATCAACTCAACGAAGAACGAAAACAAATCGTGGACACAAGATTTAACGTGAAAACCCCTCCAACACGAAGGGGGAAAAATCACGGCCGCTAGCCGGCCAAACTTCACTACATCGAGGGATGTTACAAATATCGAGGATTTACAACTGATCGACTTATCCCGTACGACAGCTTATAAAAGGTATATATAATACATGTGACCTAGGTCAATACTGATCCATACCCGTGACGGGCCACGCTCCGCTTCGGCCGAAGCCTACCGACGACTGGCCTCGCTCCGCTCGCTCGTCAGAAATTAGCCTTTCTCTTTATACTAGAATCTAGAGTATAACATAGTAACAATGGACGCCCTCCTGGCGCGACATAGTTTTCTGTGACGCTCCAGCGGCAACGCCCAGCACGCTCATCCCGGCGTCGCGGCTACTACGGCGCGTCTCCCGGGGCATCCAAAGATGCAGAGAAAGCGGCGGCCATCAACTAGCTCGTGACACCGCGGCCCTCAACCGGCGGCGCGCATCAGTCATCAACGGAAAGACGAGCATGCTTGCTTCGGCACGCATGGATCCCTTCAAGAAATCAATCACGAGCTTCGTTCTTTCTGACTAAGCGCAGAGCTAATCATCTCGTGTTTGACGCATTTTTCATCTCTTTGCCGAGACTTAAGGTTCTCGGTGAAAATGCCCACATGGCAATACCTCGGAAAATGGCTGAACCATACAAAGAGACTTGTCAGGCCGCTCAGCAAAGTTTTCCTGCATGAAGAAAATAAAATTTTGAAACAATATGTAGAGACATAGATGGACAGCTCTCGGCAAAAGTAACCCCGGTGTCACGGTTGCCGTCAACCACGGACGGACATGCCAGGTGGCGTGCTTAGCTCTCGACATACAGCATGGTTGCCGAGTTATTTTTACTTGGATCTCTGCAGCGGCGTGTCTTTGGCATGCCCTTCTCGGCTTAGACCGTCGTTGTTGAGAGCCCGCACTTTGGCTTTTGGTGTAGACAGTTTTTCCATTAGTGCTGGTCATTTTTAGATACTATTTCCATAATCAAATTTCAGGCTACAGTAATCTAGTACTCCCTCCGTCCGGTGAAAAGTATACATTTAGAAATTTTAAGACAAATTATGGGATGAAGTAAAAGATGCATTGGGAAGATGAAAGCTATCATCCCTCTCCTTTTTTAATTACCCAACCATCAATGAGTTAAGTACATGTAGAAATTAAAAAGATTATGTATAGAGTGCTATTGGTCTTGATTACCGTGTGATGAAAAAAAAATACTTTAAAATACATTGAGAAGATAGAAGTACACTCTTTTGTGGACAAATTTTAAACCTAAACATACGCTCTTGACCGGACAGAGGGAGTAGTGAACAATGGAGTAAATGCACGACGCGGAGCGGATACAAGAGCCGTAATCTCCACCAATCCAATGCATTATGCATCTGCATATGCGGATTCTGCTAGAATAATAATTTACCAGAATGCATGCTGATCCAATGCATGTGTGGACGTCTGGTGTTTCCTTCACCGCTTGCTTTTTTTGTAGAATAATAATTTACCAGAAGGGTGCCTCATCAGATCGTCGTCGAGATCGTTTTGCAATCAGAAGCATACGAGATCCGACAAGCAGCAGCGGGCAGAGGGCCACATATATACATGTAGCAGATGGATCTCCATCACGTTTGCCCACAAAATCAAATGATTTGCCTATCCTCACAATGGGTTATCTATGTGGGCCTCTATTCTTTTTCCTACCCAGTTTGAAGTGGCATTTATTATTTATTCAGTTTTATTTCCCATCAAATTTTATTTTATTTTATTCAGTTTTATTGGTCTTAGATTTTTTAAACCTTTTATTGGTCTTAGTTGGAACAGGGTGATTCTCATAAAGTCTACAATAAGTAGTTTTGGTTCTTGAATGGTTTGGATTGCT